TGGAAGATATTCGGATCCATAGACTAAAATGACTCACCCTGTATATCGGTTTAACCCTTATTGTGCACACTTCAGTAGAATCACACATGGGCACACTGGGATCTTTTGTGATCTCAGCTACAAAAATGTTTGCTGCAATAAAATTATTTGCTTTTTGATTTGAAAAAATTCCAGGATATATTTCAAACATCTTTTTATATGACGCAATAATTTTTCTAGACGAAATTTAATTTTAAATAAAGAAAAAAGTCCAAAAGTTTTTTGGAAATTCCAAAAAAAAGCGAAAAATGACTTGATTTGTCCAAAAAATCATAACTGACACAATTTTTTATATATCAAGGTAAAATTTTAAGGGACTACTCTCAAAATATATCTCTTTAAAAAAAAATTAGTACAATAGCAGGATTTTCAAAAAAGATAAAATTTATTTTGAATATCGAAATTAGGATTTTTGTGAAAAAAAGCAAACGGTTTTTCCAAAATATATAGATTTATTTTATTATATTATATTTTATTTTATAGATTTACTTTATTTTTTCTGGGGTTTGTTTGACCCCACAGTGCACAATAAGGGTTAAAATTATAATTACGCTTTATTCGCGGTGTGTATCGCAATACGCGCGCACTTCCGACGCGACCGTCCGACATTGATTTACCATGTCTGGAGCCTGTATCAATTTCTTTTGATTCTATTTGATCTAATATCTTCTTCGAGAGGTTCCCTTTAGAATCTACAAACAGTATTTTATGAATTTTCTGCCATTTGAAGACGTCAAGTAGTACTTCAGGTTCCATTTGTATTAACACCTACACTTCAGAATACACATGTTGGAGAATTCGGATTGGAAATATGGCTAAAATCTCAACTGTGTGTCGCCGCGCGAAATATCGCATTCGAACACCGCTTCTGTTTTCTACGCCATTTATCGACGGGCGTATCAACGCGTGATTAATTATGTCACTCACTTGCGACACGCAACAACAACAATAATGTGGACCGTGAAACAACACAAGGCGGCGGCACATCTGGGCACCCACGATATTACGAGGTAATAGGAGAAAACAGCCGGGTATTATTATCGTCTCTCGGATTTACATACCGCCGCGCTCCACGATTTACATTGGACTGTAATCTAAATTTCATAGGGATTCATCTCGCGTCTCGCGAGATAGGCTCTTTTCCGGACGACACATATGTTTTAGATCCTGGTAAATTCTGCGCGAACTCTAATTAACTATGTCACACGTGCGCGCGGATGATTTTCCTCTTTCTCTCTCTCCTTTCTGTCATCCTTTCTATTCTCTCTGTCTCCTCTATCGTGGCATCTGATCACAGTCCTTGGGAGATGCATTTGTGCAAACGCGACATTTTGGTCATTTAACTTGTATATTTGCTGTGACGTGGAAATACAACATGACTGACAGTGTTGACACGTGTGAAATCGTTGCAATTATAAAATCATCCGATTTGACTGCGGCATCCCTATATCAGGTGTCAGTGGAATGTCCGACACATTCGATACGGGTCTTGGTGGGCCGTGCGTGTACGAACAACGATGATTTATCGTGTGTCATGAATTGTGACGGTCTTACAGTACCAGGAACGTCCATCGGGAAAAGCTCTTTGCGGTGCGACGCACCGCGTCGTTGTTGGTGTTTTCATTCATGGGTGATGTTTCGACTGTGACAAACTGAGTACGAAGAACAACGAATAAGCATCGTCTCTGCGGCTCCGGGTAGGGTTGGTTGGGGATTATGGCAGATGGCGCGTATGCGTAACACGCCCGCGAAAATGGGAATGCCGGGGTAAAACATGAAGCTGTAAAAGTATGTTACGACTCGCGCGAGGACCGCCTGTTAAATCTTATCTGCGGCAAAAATGATAGTTACGTGTTATTCGCGCGTCCTTTAATAACGATGTCACACACGTCATCGCGACTCCCTTACTTTCCAGCGAAAAATTCCTTTTTACGTGTCGAAAGGAGTAAAAATACGTTGCGCGTTATTTGATGAGACAAAGAGCGGTGTCCTCGGCGACATTCAGCTCGTGATTAATCGATTTCATCGCGAACACTCCCGCTTAATCGCTTGAATCGCCCGCGACGTCATCCCTGGGAATTTTTTTTTATCATTTAACAATCGCGCTGATTTATATCGCGTACGTGGAGCAGCGACAACTTTCGCGATGCTTCGCACTCGTTCAGCAGTGTCACGCGAGAACAGCTGGTCGTTGTCGCGCGCACCCTCCGCGCTAAAAGTCGGCCGGCCGATTCGAAATTCTCGATACGATCTTTATGGCGGTCGACATCGTGTTACCATAACTCATCCCGCGTCGAGGTGTGCACCGAACAGCCGAGCACTGAGGGAATTCGAAACGCGTTGTTATTACTTGGACGTGCACCGTGCGCACGAACGGCACACATCATAAATACGATTCATATGTGATCTATAAATCGATCTCGCGAAGCTGCCGCTACTGTCACGCCGATAGTTTAAAAACTACTCTTAGCGATGCTCGTTTGTTTCACGAGCCACTGCTCGTTCACATTTACACTTCTGTTTCAGCTTCTTATCGGAGCTCGTAACAGCTGGATACTGAAGATAGAATTGCTCGTAACAATATTTCGATACTTTCGTTCCACTCTTACAGTTTCTATTTCGCTACTCCTCTATATGTCGCAACTTATGATCGCAATTGCATTCATATAATCTCGACTAGAAATTTATTTCATGGTCCTGATGAAGTTGATCTTATATCTGGTTGATGAAGTTGATCGGATATCTGGTTTGGACAAGGTAATATGATCGGAATTATTAATAAGATCCTAATTATTATTCTTTAATTTCTTAAATTTCTTAGAGTAAAATCTTAATGAAAACAAATGAAAGGCTTTTCACTCGAAGCGATAGTATTTTCACTCGAATGTTTCAGGATTAGAGTGGATTCTGACTCCATAGAATGTTTCAATCGATTGGAGTGAATATGTTCCTCTGGCAATGGAATATATCAAATTTACTCTTCAATTTCTAGTGAAAACACTCACTCAACGATTCAGAACGGAGAATTCACTTTATATATAGCAGTGAAAAATAAAAATTTTCGTGATTCGGCTCTATTTTTGTTACTCTATTTTTGGAATGAAATTTCACTTCAAGAAATTTAAATAGTAATAAAAATAATCTTTATTATTAATAAAATCCTGATTGCCATGATGCGTTATTTATCAGGACTTGATAACTTGATAATCAGGAAATGATAACTGATTGGGATCAATATCATTTGAATTTATATTCAAATAATTATTACAGAATGTAATTAATATTCAACGTCGACGTACTTTGACATTTTACTAGGAGTCTGCGTGAGTTACTTAAATGTCCGATTTATCTCTCTCTTGTAACGCCACGCGCATAACTCGCGATCGCAACGCTAAACGTAGAATTGTTCGCAACGACGATTTCGCGTTTTACGAGTCTCATTCGATTTTCGCGATTTCTTGAGACGCACCCACCTGTATGCGTGTCGGATGCCGAGAGGTGAGCTAGGCGGTAGATCGTCAGGAGCCGAAGGAGCCACATGACATTACACATGACTGCTCGGCGCGTGGCCCTTCGCCGCCTTATCTATTCCCGCTGCTGCGGCCTGTGTACCACGGCCTCGGCATTGTCGTCATCTGAAACACAGGAGAGGAAATCGCGAATAAGTGAATGGGCTTGTTTACGCTTGGGCGACAACGTCGCACGCGCACGCCGGTTATCTCCTCGGGTTATCTCCCGGATCCACTCTAATACGCGAATTCATTGCGTCAAGTAATCCGCCAAGTGGAAAGCCTCGACGTGGGGTGCTCCTTTCCCATCGCGTCGATGTAAAAAGGAGACTTCTCTACTGATCGAGAGGTCTTTATTACAATGTCGAGTCACGATGTTAAATTGTTCAGAAAATCATCGGCAACTCACGAAAAAGCGCGGGTTTCATACACGGACGAGTGATAAATCCGTACCCAGTTAATCAATGTCGCTAACAGAGGCAGCGGCGCCAAGAGAGTCGAATTGTCGGTTTTATCGTGCAGGAACTGTCCCTCGTACAACTGGCTCTTAGCGAGTGATAATTCGCGTGTGTTCGATGCATCTTTGCGTCTATATTAAAAATGATAAATTATTAGCATGCTGCGATGATTGCCGATACTTGCGCTGTTAACCACATCGACGTGTCTTGCTAATTGACGTGCAAGGCGTTAACTTCGTTATCTACCCGAGTTGACATTTTAGCTCTACTTTAAACTTTCTAATATTTACATTATCTGAAGGTTCAATGCATGTTTAATACATATATGAACTCAGGAGATCTTTCTCACAAGTAAACCTACCCAAAAGTTACATTCCGATTTCTTTCTAATTTGGCACAAATTTAGAAA